AGAGGGTAGGCGCCGAGCGAGCGTGGGGAGTGAGCTTAAAGGGTTACGCTGCCCGTGCATGCTGCGTGCACGCTTCGCGCGCGGGTCGGCGGGCCTGTCTGTCTGTCTGTCTGCTGTCTGTCTGCCACCTTCCCTGGGTGACCTCAGCTGACCTGCGTGCGGTGGAGTGCATGGGGCTCTGTGTGTTCAGGCGCCCACGCGTGATCTTGCCCTTTTACGAGACGGGTGAGAGTAAGCGGAATTTGTTAAGAATGTGGGGGCGGCCGGGGGCTCGTTGCAGAAGGCAGCGTTGTGAAATATCTGTGAGTGGCTGAGCCTCAGGAGAGGAGAAAAAAAAAAAAATGAAGAATGGATAAGGTCCTACGGCTTGAGAGATACAAAACAAAAAAACCGCCAAGGCAGGAAGAGTTAGCTTTTTCCTTTGAGGTACATTGCGCAAAACAGTGTGTGCGGTGATTGTGCTAAATGGCCGTGTTCTGACTTCCTAGGGGTGCTGAAATGTACATTTCCAATGTTCTCACACAAAAACTGCTGTGTGTGTGAAATAATGGAATGCCAATTAGCTCAACATACTTACTTTGCATTGTATTCAAAAATCAACAGCACTTTGCTGTGTGTCTTTGTGTGTGTGTGTTGCAATTAAAAATACCTTTTTAAAAAACGGCTTGAAGAAGTCCGGGTCAAACTTTGCCTCACTTGAGCCATTTAAACAAAACGACACTGGGCAGGAAGAGGCTCTTGCAATATTTGCCAACGCTATCGACAAGGGTGATGGTTATCAAAAGCATTTGCTATTAAAATGAAAAAGCTGTACCGCTCAGCACACATTAAATATGAACTAGAATCTGGGAGCACGGAGATAATTAAGGCATGGCCTCTGTCCTCAAGTCACTGCTGTTGGTTCTTGTCCATCTTGTATGCTCTCACTCTAGTCTGCTCCAATAAATCTTTGTGCATGAATAAACCAATAAAAACTTACCCAGAGCTCCCTAGTATTGAAATCCCTGGGCCCGGCAGGCACATCAAGCCTACAACAGTGAGTGAGCCTCTCTTTGCCCACTTCCCCAGCAGTTGGCCCTGCCATGGTCCTGAGACATGCTATGATGCTCCTCCCTAAACTGGTTCTCCAGGCCTCCCCTATTCACTCCTGTTCTCAATTATCACATTCCCCGGTGACATCTCAAAGATTAACAATGGCACCATGTCTCAGGTCCTTATCAATCTGTGTCAGGATTCCACAAGGATACAAACCCATGAAGGCAGTGCCTTGCACCAGAGCCATAATCAACGCTCAGTGCCATGTTATAATAAGCTCCCCATAAACACCTGAAGCTGGGGCACAAGAAAAACAAGAGTTTCTTAGCTTGACCTTCCTACTTCTCTTTATAAACCATCCCAAGAAGCAAATATTCTCTTTTGGAAAACAACCCTGGAGAGTGGAAGTGGATGTTCATAGAAGAAGCAATATAGACCTTGAAGTCAAAGACCCTGCTTTATTTAGCCTCACATGTATCTTAGCAAAAGGCAAACACACTTCACTAAAGTCCTGGAGCACTGTATGCTAACTACAAAGAGTAATTCTTATCCCAAAACATGAAATTTTGTGCACAGCATACTTGTCCCTAACAACAAAACAAAACATGGAAGGAGGGAAAAAAAAAAAAAAAAACCAACATGAAATGAAGTAGATAGGCTGACAACAGAGAAGTTCTAGAATCTAAGCCAGAGGGAAAATGTGTCTTACATAAAGCTCAGTTGTATGGACTCTTCCTGCACAAGGGTTACTGTATTTGTAAATGTTGATTGCCCTGCCAAGAAGTTCAGGTTACTAATGAAAATTGTTTTGGAAACAGGTGACACCCTAAGCAATCTATTCTATCAACAGTAACCAGTCCAGCCAGTCAAGATGGAGCAATGAGTGAATTCACTGCCTGGTTTAACAACAAAAAACAAACAAGCAGACATAAAAAAAAAAAATGGCATTCAAACATGGTGTGCCTGAGATGGACAGTCCAGGGGGAGGGAAGCAAATGAGTTAAGCCCTATAATTGTGTTGATTTATCGCCTAGAACAAGTTATCAGGCTTCAGTACAAAAAGGAGAAACTCAGAGGTTTAGGTAGACTGCGAGACTATGGGTGTTGGATCTGGAGCAGAGTCCCAGAGAGGAGAAAGCTATGTGGCACAGGCATCCATGAAGACCTACAGATGTCAGTCCAATCTTCAGCTAATTAGCCTACAATGTCAGGAAGCTGTCCAGGCACAGGAAGAAGAACACAACCATGAAGAGAGGAAAGAACACTCGCTGTGGCTTGCACAAGATGGGGATTATTCTTGTTCCTACAAGTCAGAGTTAAAAGATCCTCAGTGGTCATGCAAGACGATAAGATGCCTGATCTTCACAGAGCCTGAAAACCCCATAAGTCATGATATAAATGATCTCGCCTCAGTAGCAGAGCACAACTATCCCTACAATAAAGTTTATCATGGTCCTAGTTAACAAATCTTAAAAACCAAGCTCCACCTCCAGCCCCCTAGTCAATTGCATATATATAATATGCAATATATATATATATATATATATATATATATATATATATATA